TACGAGCAAACGGGTCACCTGTTGGAAAGTGACCATCGCCGCCCATGAACGTTTGTACTCAGGAGTCACAAACGCGGGGCCGGCCTTTTAGGATGGAGTCCGCTCTTTTCTTGAAGGTTTGAATTGCTATCCCGATCCCATAAAAGTCTTTGTATTTATTTTCATTAAATGGAAACATGCCTTTTTATTTTAAATGAGTTATGTGTAATTGTTATTTCATAACGGTATGTTACAAAATGTGTACATAATTGGTATGGTTAATTTAGCGTGCACGTGCGTACGACACGCGATAAAAGTGCTAAAGCCTGGCCAAGAGAGAGCGAATCAATGCAAAACATCCGGATGTTACCACTTGCTGCATTTTTTTTCAACCGTAAATTTGCATTTGACAATGTTTTGAATACGTAATTAGCAACCGAATTTCTAACTAATGAAATACCAACTGAGAATACATTGTCGCTTGACCTCGTCGCTCAGCAGTCTTTCTAGTATATGAAGTTTGAAATTAGGAAAAAAATTTGTTACATTCTTAAAAAATAAGTGTACAAAAGAATTAATTATATAATTAAATTATGCTACTATTTTGGACTTGAATTTAAAAACTTTTTGTACCAAGTAGCTGCAAATAAAGCTATTAACTGCCATCGCTTTTTTGTTGCTTAAAATCTAATTGTAATTTTATTACGCTATAGCGTGATTTTATTTCGTAAGTTTAGCACGTAGCTCCCTAGTGATGATAATAGCCGAATGATGCCTGCATCATCCGAATATCTTTCATCAATGTTCAAAGTTAAGCGATTACTGGTGTGTTTAAATGCTCCATATAACAACAATGTCAGTGCCACGCGACATATTAAGGATATTCTCAATATATATTTACATGTATTTAAAAATATATCCTTAGGCTATGTAACACATCTACAAATACTTTTAAATCACACTAGTCTGATATACTGAATGTTATTTGTTATTTAGTGCACTAGAAATTTTCTCATACTACCAATCTCCAATCGTGGCCATTTTCAATCATCGTATGAGCTGTGTCACCTGAGTGATCAGTAAATAGTAACAATAATACAATACTATTCGAGAACTATTGATTGCTTGTAGTTTTCTATTGCTTATTGATTTCTATACAGTGCTGTATGCACGTTTTTTAACTTTTCCATTAAGTAAAACAATGTGTTAGTATCCCATTTCAACCAGTACAGATTGAGATGTAAGTAATGAAAAAATCAGCTGGCAGTGTGCCGGGGGAAAACTCGTAAGCTGATACATTTAAATAGCTGACTTTATATTTATTAACAGTAGCATATAAACTATCAACTGATCAATTTTCAGTTGGGAGGAAATCACTGAAAACATATATATTTGCTTCATGTTTGTGTGACCAGCTGACGTATAATCCGCCACTTCATGATTAGCTGACAATTTTTCTTCTTCAAGATGTTGGGCTCACTATAATTTGATAAATTTTTAATTGGGAGTAAATTATTAAAAATATTTTTTTTTATTACGTGGTTGGGCAGCTACCACTGCTCAACCCAGCCACGGAGCATCAGCTGATGATCACAACGCTTCAGGATACAACTCTCTGAAGCATTTTACGAGTTATCGATTGAGAGGATTTTACGAAGGAGGATTTGACGAAATTTGCGCCTGGCTTACGGTCGTCATGCAGGTACCGACAATGGTCGGTTACCTGCATGACGACATGAGTTGTCTGTGATTGTTATGGTAAACGCACCAAAAATACTTGTGTATTCATTAAACACTGAAGTGGATATTAAAGCATTTCATTGAATTCGTACTAGACTTCGATAACTTACTCAATTATTTATTAGATTTAATTGCTTTGTATACACACATATCGTAAAAGATATTTTGTAATAGTACGTGTTGGTATATTTAAATTTTATTGCATAAAATGCCATAATTTTAATGTAAATGTTACAGTTACAATTTTAATACGATATTTTTTTATCGAACACCTATTGACATTAAAAAAACCGGTTAGCTCAAAGTGGAGCATGTCTCATAGCTGGTGGCAGGTCTAGAATTTGGACAGTCGCTCGCATAACCGGGTCCAAACGTCGGGCGGGGTTCTAATAAATGAATAATTAAACACGTGCTTACTCTAATCTACTAGCTGTATAAATTAAGTGAGAGTAACAGTGATAACGTAAATATTATTCTCATTACGAATTTTACCTTCTATTTCATCGTCAAGTTATGTAAAGTAACATTTTATTGACATGCAACCAATTTATTTCGTATTCAATATGTGATTTCCAAGACAAATGAGAGATCAATGTTTACATAATTGTCTACATCTTTATCTTTGTTCAAGTTTTGGGCAAAAGATTTTACGTTTTTGGGTACGTAACAAATTTTAAACATGACATACATAAAGGATCGAAAATCTGCCAAATTATTTATTAAGAATTGCGACGGAGAGAAAAAAGACAAGTATTTTAAATATGCATACACTTAACCTGTCTGTTTGATTATTTTCATATCGACAGTTGCCAGGGAACGTAACTGGACCTGAGTTTGTAAGATTAACTTTTAAATGCGCTGACAGAATGAAAAAATATATTTATCAGCAGGGGACAGTTAATAGTATGTGTTGTAGTTGCTTTCAACTCCTGTATTTATAGGATTAAAGCTTAACCTTCTGTGATGTTGTATTTCTATAAAAACCGCAAGAACTTTGATACCAATAAACGATGAAAAAAAGTAAAGACTATTATTGACATTAATTATTAGAGCTAAGAACGAATGGAGATTAAAGTCGGAATAAAGTGATAGGCAGACTAAAATACCTTGAAGTTTTTGACCCACGAGGGTTTCCAATCGACAAAAAAATATGGTCGTGATAATCTCTGGAGGTAGCTTAAAATGATTCTGATAGAAACTTTTTTGGATCAGAGGCGATTGTATTCATTTGACAGTCTAACAATGTCTTTTCAGAAGCCATTCATAATGGTAGCTTTTCTCTAATCTCAAAATCCATAAAGAAAAGACGTTTCATAAGGAAAAGGATAGCTATACTTTATCATTATTCTGTTCAATGTTAACACTAAGTTCGTATCGAATATGTGTAAGATAAATTTAGATTTCAAAGAAAAGCTCTGGAGCTCTCTCAAAGAGCCGGGTAGAACATAATTTTGTTTACGTATCTCAAAGAAGATTAGATATACAGTAATACACTACTGCCTTATATAATATATAAAAGGTAAAACACAATAATTACATACAAAATATTAAATAATAATTAAGAAAACCCTCTCACCATTAGTAAAAATTAAGGAGCAGTCACCACACTCCCCACGTAGACAGAGTAAATAAAAAGCACCATATTCGTAGCCGCGTAGCAATTCGTAGCAAAGATGACGTGGCCCACCGATTTTAATTTTCACTATATTTTCGGTAGCTGGTTTCAGTAAAATAATTATGGTCTCCTAGACTCGTTGAATAACAACGGGACACGTTCTCGAGAATTGCTACATGACCTATTTACTATGTTTCTTTAGCTCGATCTTGACCTGAAACAACTGTGTACATAAATGTGAACCTTAATAATTTTATTCCGATTTCAAAAAGAAAGAGACTATCATTTTACATAGAAAATAAAATACACTCAATCTACCAATTTTTTACATTATACACGTCAAAGGAACTAATATTCTAGAAGTAGGTAGTCGTGAATCATGAAAAGAGCACTTTCCATTATCGTTCAGTGTTTTATTTTCTCTTGTACATTTGTAGGCTTTATTTAATAGGTAGATGTATATGGGGGTGTCATTTGTAGCGCGGCTGGGCGCCGTGTGGGCGCCAGCCGACATCGTCGGTCGCTTGGCGACCGCCGGCGCCGAGACCCGCACTAGCTGAGCATGTACGACGTTTCGCATCACTGTCATTACGTTCAACTAGCTGCTGCCCACGACCCGTCATTTTATATTAACGGTTATTCAAATTTCACTCATTGAACGTCACAAACAACGTCACAATGTTCGTTATCAGACAGTATATTTACTTTGAGGATCGTGAAATTTACATATCTCCCTTATCGTATGATATCAAATATTCAATGCATTTTATTTCTTTAATATTTTACTTGTTAAGCTTTTCGTGAAATTGTAACTTTGTGTTTTAAAAGCTTTGTTTTGAAAGTTTTTACAGATATTTCAAAAGAAAACTAGAATTTAAAATAGTTTTTATTGTTGTCCCTATGAAGTGAACCCTTTTTTCATAATGTACATGAAAAATTGGATTAAATTAATTGATTAGTAAATATAAAATAAAATAGCTTAACATATAAACCAAAAATCAATCGGGTTTTAAACAGTTTAACCGGCGCCATAGCAGTAACAAAGTTGACATAGTACGAGTAACAGGAAACTCTTTAAAAGCGTTCTGACCACTTCTGGAGATTTCAAATTATTCATCCGTATGTAGAGTTTACGTTTTATAGCAAATTACAATAAAACCAATTATTGATTTTTAAAAGTATCGCCCAATTCAATGCGCCTAAATGGTGAAACTTGTATTTTTCTTCATCTCCTAACTTTTCACCTATACAGGTGCGACATTTTCTTCAAATTGAAATGGAATCATCCTTGACAACTAGAGTTTCATCACGTAGAATATAAAAAGATTTGTTTTCAAACAAGTTTCAGAACTGTCATAAAATTAGTCAAATAATTATATTTTCTTTTCATAATAACCGACTGAGCTAAGCTTAACTTGGCTTACTTGCATACATATTGGAATCGTTGATATTTCGAGTTACGATTCCGTTACATGCTTGTAAGTAGTTATCGATATACCTATATGCAGAGATTTTTATAATAACCTATTTTAGTATTAAACACAGTTGGTCTTGGAGTTAGCCTAGGAAGATTCAAAGGAGAAATGTTTGAAGAAACAAATAGGCACCATAAAAAATAATAAAAATCAAATATATAAATCCTTTTTAATTTATTTCAGATTTAAAAATGCCCCAATGGGCAAGTGGGGAGGGTGGAGGTTCTGAAGCTGAGTCGCCAGACCAGATGATGTTGTATTATGAAGACGAAACCTCCGAGTATTATGAAAGCAAACCTGATATTGCCGACAAAATAGAGCAAGCAGGAGGTGAGAAATGAAATATTAATTCTAAATGTTTTTGAAAAGAGCCTGCATGGCCATTGAATTTTAATTTATTATTGTAATACGTACCGGCGTCGAAAACCACGAAGCAGATAAGGGCATTACGAAAATCAGCCGTAACCGTGCGTACAAATCGATTAGTCTGAACCCGCGCTCTTACGCAAATACTTTATCAAGCGTGCAGTAGTGTCACGTAATAGCCAAGTTTCGTACAGAGCAGCTGACTTGTTGCACAAATGTTCTCGCTTCAATATCGTGCCGTTGCCAGCTTCTGGTTGCTAACACTTCGTGACGGAGAACGTGAATTCTGAGAGATCCCGGTGATGTACAAGCGCATTCTGCATACCATTATCATTAATTTGTTTGTTGTTTTATTCTCATTGTCTGTCTCTTTTATTGTAAGATTTTAAGCTATCAAAGTAGATGGTAACATTGCTTTCTTTGGTTATTTATCAACCATATTAAATATAATCGTTAATTAACGCAACAACAACCTATCAACATGAATTAAATAAAATGACCTACGTAAATTGACACATTATCTTTTTCTAATAATTACAAAACTAACTTTTGAAATGTAACATTTTTCTTATCGCTATTCTGCAATATGTTGGTAGTGTGTTCGTGAGAAGGGACGGAATTGTGAAACAGGATGCCGGGGAAGTGCGCGTTACTTGGTTTGAGCAATGAGGCTTTGCGAGATCGCAATAGCCGTTATAAATATTTCAATTTGATTATATATATATACCCATTCACATCAAAATTTACATTAAACTGAAAATAATTTGAAATAGCAAATATAACTGAAGGATGCTTATATGCTATATATATCATAAGTTGTTTAATATTATATACATATATATATATTATTAAACAACTTATGAGTGTTACAGAGACTGTAAATTAAATTAAATGGACTGTAAATAAAAGCCTATGTCTAGTGAGATGTAAGGTGTTACATATGCGATTTCTGTAAGGCTCGGTCGTTTAATTACTTTACCTCTGTTTATATATATAAAAATAAATTAATAAGTCATCCTATCCTAAATAGAGTTTACATATGTACATATGTAATACAAAGTGTGTGCAAGTATACATTCCGAATGTATTAAACAATTAACACTTGATGTATTTTCTACAGAACAAGAAAAACTTTTTAAAGGTAAAAATCTGTCTGTCTGTCTGACTTGGGCAAAGACTAAATATTTTTTGTTGACATTAAATGGAACCATAACGTCATCTTTGACGTGAAAAATGTCCCATCAACATGGCGTTGACAATGATACGAATCGATAAGACTTCAGTTTAGTTTTTTTATTACGATTGCGCAATTTTGCACTTAATTGCGCTTATAGTTTGACTAGGAAGCAGTACATAATCTTGTTACTTTCGTGCTTGCCCAGATTTACGGAGAAGTCTCAATGTGTTAATAAATAGTCACCCATCCTAGACTGACGTGGCTAGGATTGCTTAACTTAGCAATGTCTTGATCTACTCGGTTACAACTTAGCCAACAAAACACATCATGGGTATTATTGTAAAAATCCTCGCGTTATTTACATACAATCTATTAAGCTACTATATTATTTATATCACTTACTTAAATATTTATCTTATTAAGGCTCTTTTTAATCATACCACTTGTACGATCTGCAATATATATATATATATATATATATATATATATATATATATATATATATCTGCAACAAAACAACGTTTGAGAGTTTAATTCTTAGAGAAACTGAATACCATTTCAATTGCCCTTAAATCTAAATTATTTCAATTGCGCCTCAAACCCTTTCAATTAAAGCTCATTAGAGCCACCCTGCACCCGACTAGCACCACCTCACCACGATCGGTAAACGCCCACTACATTAACTTCGCAGCGCCTCGCCCGCGCGATTGAAGACGCGGAGGAAGACGATGCATCGTGTCTCAAACGTATTTGTCTTATCATTTTCTGGTCGGGTATCGGGTGGCTTTAATGAGCCACCTTTAACCTAATTCATCATCAACAGCCTTTAACAGTCCACTGCTGGACATAGGCCTCTTCTTAGAAAGGAGGTTTTGGCCTACTATACCACGCTGGCCAGACGGGTTGGTATAGAGTTTTTGTCAAGTTTTCCTTCTCTTTGCAGTGCTGTTGTTCTGCGTAGTTTACTCTCTTAGTCGGCTCTTACGACACCCACATGGGATGAATAGGGGTGGTGACACTCCGTATTCTTAATCCGTCACCACACAGATAACCTAATTATCAAACAGTTATATATCCCTGAGCGTCATACTTCACATCCAGAAATCAAAAATCATATCATATTTTAATCAAAGTTTCCTAAAACATCTTCTGAAAATCCCATGTACAAAAACGCGAAGCAAGGTTGGCACTCAAGAAGCGGCTATATGTCAGAAGTCAAGAAGAGCGCCAATTTAATTACCGACTAGAAAACTTAAAACTAGACTCAGGCCATGGGAGGAGGTGATGATAAGAAAAGTATTATGGATTTGACAACAGATACAGTTTTGTTATCTTAATCTTAGAACAATAATAATAAACATCTTTTTCATAATTTTAATTGTGGAATATTTTGTTGTCTTTATTACAAGTTATGACGTATTTGTTAGATATTTATTTATGCGTAGCTACTTCTGAAAATTTAACAGTAAGAATTTCGTTAAGATGTTATAGTATGAAAAAAGAAATATTACTGCTGGTGTGACCTTAAGCCTTAAGAGCTGGCCTTAAGTTGTCCAACACTAAAGTTGCAGTCAAATTTGAATTTAATCGGAAACGGAATTACAGTTTTCTTCCCCATTTTTTCCTTGTTATACTGACAAGGTTTTAGTTGTCTGTTATAAATAATTATAAATAAAACTAATTTCATGGAAAAAAGCACTCCGTCTTTTTCTGAATTCCTCAATTTTTTGTTATTTTCTTTGCCTACATTCCTAAATTTAAAAATTACAAAAATTTAAAAAAAAAGTAGCCAAATTGTTCTGTGTAGCTAAGTGGTTAAATTGCCACCAAACATTTCAATTTTTTTCTATGACTAACAAACACTTTTCGGGTTTTAGATTTTGCTAAACCTTTTAAATTTTTTGATATCTCGAGTTTTTTAAAGTTTAGGAAGTGATTAACGAAACGCAAATTAAGTGATTCAAATACAATCCTTTTTCAATTGTTTAAAACTATAATTATTACATCTATACTATATTCAACACAAAGAAGTCAACGCAAAAAATTTAGTTGCAAATATTTAAGATCTACTACATGCCTATTTAGATAATATAACCGTCCAGTTCTACACAGGGATCTGACAAGTAATCGGGCAAAGAAACTCGCGACCATTCTTTTAGTTATATGGATAGTTAGAGCTATAGATGGATGGGTTTACTTTACTACATTTAGTGAAAGGTCTTTACAGTATATAACTTTTTAGTTATGTTCTATTCTGTTTTTAAAATACAAATTGAGTTATGAAAATAGGGATACTGAAAACAAAAGATAGTAAATTTAAGTGCAGAATAAGATATAAAACGTAATAAACGGAAGTATTTAAACAAATTAATTTATATTTCTTTTCTATTACGTATTTTAAATATCCTGCTTATCAAAAAACATTTTGGTCTCAAGCGCCTTTTTTTCGGTTTTATTTCGAATTTTAATTTAAATTCTCACACAGATCTCGAAACAACATTTTAACTTTTTGCAGCCTGAAGACATGCCAAACATGTTTTTATTTAAGACGCGTGTTAAAAGAGTATAACTACGTAATATATTACTTACTAATTAGTCTTTTTGATAGAACTGATCTTTTTTCATGAACATAAATGAAGTTTAAAAATAATTTCACAAGACTAAATCTTCTTAGAGCTCCGAAGTTTCGACGTTAGAAAAAGAAAAGAAAAAGAGTTTGTTGTTCTCTCAAATAAGTACACTCACTCTAGCAGTCTCAATTGCAGATTTCTATGACAGCGGCAGCGGCAGTGATGAACAAGTGACTCGTCGAGTTTGCCGGCCGCGACGTGCAGCGGCGGGATCGTCCTCGTCAGCCGCCAGCAGTAGTGGACCCACCGGCCCGGGGCGTCGACGACGCTGTGGTATCTCTGCGCGTGAACGAAATCTCCGTAGGTTGGAGAGTAATGAACGTGAAAGAATGCGAATGCATTCATTGAATAGAGCTTTTGAGGTAAGGAATGAGAATTAGTTTACTACAAATAGGCAATCTTTTTTTGCCAAAGTACTTTCGCGTTTGAGTTTAAACGCCTGTATCTGTGTGAACAGCAAAATGTTAAGTAATAACAATTTGTATTGTTAATTCTTCTCTTCCAATGTCAAAACAATGTCTCTAAGAGTTTAAGCTATATTACTATCAAGTGACGCTTTTTCCATAGACTTAGAACATGACGTTATAACATTTTACTTGTAGAATCACCTTACATAATGTATACATGTTACAAATATATTCTAAGTGCGAATAAGTTTTTTAACGCTTTCATGCTTTGAACCATTTTTATTATGTAGAGTACATATGCTACTCAACCGATCATCATTAAATATTTAATTCACTTGACAAGGAGTAGAAAAAAGGATTCATTCTATTCCGGATGAATAGAAATAACTATTTACGCGATTGGTCAACAGTCAGAGATAATTTAAAAAACAAACTTTGTTTTTTATTGCAGGACCTCCGGCGGGTAATACCACATGTTAAAAAGGACAACAGAAGTTTGTCGAAAATAGAAACACTTACTTTAGCCAAAAATTACGTGAAGGCACTAACCAATGCGATATGCACAATGAGAGGAGAAGTTTCTCGATACCAGTAAGTATTACTGATCATTTTTCTAATTACACCATATGATCGTTATACCTATATCATGTCTTACACCGGTGTTGTATTGTTGGACAGATACTAGTATGTTCTAGAATGTTTTTATTCAAATTTGTCATTCGCTTTAGGGTATGACGCGCTGAATTACTTTTTTTTAAATAGCTACCTTAACGTATGATTATTAGACAACTTAGTGTGCCCAATAGCAAATAATGCAAAGCGAAGTTTTGGTTTTAGTAAATTTTTTTTTGGTTCTCTATCTTACATAGTATTTCGATGTACCTGCTCTTTATAAACTAATGTCATTGCCGCTCATTCTCCTTATTCATCAGTGAAAGACCTGGGCTTAAATCTGAACTCTACGGTAAATTGTTGCAATCAGTTAATTAAATCAGATAACTTTGTTCCCAAATATATATATATTCACTTTTACAAATTCTTAATTTGGTTTTGATCGACGATGATGTATGCAGATATTCTCGATCACTCTAACGTGTTCCTAAAACTGCAGTCTATTTATTTTTAATCTGCATAAATATGACCATATTTACGTACACTTTTCGCTCTCAATTCAAATCGTTTCCTATTGGTCAATTCCGAAATAAAATGTTATCACCCTACTTTCACCCCCTGCTTCTTTCACCAAATTTCCAACTTTTGTGCAATAAGCATGTACGAGCAACTTACAACATTTAAGGATCCTCCTTCTACTTTCTCCATCTTACACCAACGGTTTCCATGGCTATTCTATTTTCGTTCAGTCCATTCTTTTGTGAAATACATTTTCATTCAAATTCTAGATGGCTACATATCGTTACTCTTCAAGGTAAAAGTAAATGAACTCCTAATCTAAGAATTAGCACAATCAACTCGTTTATAGTTCATAAATGAAATGATAATGATAATGATATGTATTTACTCGCACATGTGGATGCGTTATAGTTTTTATATAAATAGTTATTATGGCAAGTGTGACTAAGTTTATGATGTTGATGTAGATATATACGAGTAATATAGTGGGGATAGGATAATTATGTGCAAGTAGGTTACTTTATATGCAAAGTTTATATTAAAATGAAAATCCCCATATTTAGAAACCACTATGTAAAATGATCACTATAAAAATCCAAACCCAAATTAACAAAGAAAGCCTTTATGCTTTCTTATTCACTCGATGGCATGTAAATCTCTAGTGGCTTTTAAAAATGTATGTATTATACTTTAAACCTGGATTATTCATTTAATTTATTAAAACCAAAAACTTAAACAGTAAAAAAACGATTGATAATCTTGTATTTCATCTACTATGAACTACTGCTTGTAACTTGTCTACTGTGTATATAAGTATTATCTTGTTACTAAAGTGGTCGATTATTTTCAGATTCAACAGCGACGATGAGAACGTCGAGCCTGTTTTTGTTTTAAATAGAGAACAGGAGCAGAATAATAATGTGCCAAGTGATCAGGATCGAGAAGATTCAAGTCCGGGGTCTCGCGTATGTCTTTGACAAACAAGAACTAGTCTTCGCCTTGCTCGCCTTGTGTCTACTGCCACGACATCGGTCCTCTCAACTGCACCCGATCCTGCAACTTCAACTTACACCGCCCAGCAATAAGAACCCACGACAAACGCGACTCTTTCAAAAATACTAGATAAATTTGCTTAGTACAACATATTTTAATTCAATTCATATAATCGTTGCGGTGCCTGGTCTATCTGGCAGAATCTTGATGCTCCAAAATTTATTTCGCATAACACACTTGGCAGAATCTTCTTTAAACGAATATTTTTAAGGCATGAAAATTATTTAGTATAATTTTTGTTTGGCCGAATGTTTATATGTCCGAATTTACAATGGCATACTTTTAATTTTATTTAGCATAGTTACCTTTGGCAGAGTTAAAATGCCGCATAATTTCGTTTAGCATAACGTGACAGATAACCTGCATGCTGCATTCTTGCTTGAAGAAGAAATACAAAGTGATGGATAGGTAGTCTATCAATTATTATACATATGAAACATATGCCAAAAGATGATTCGCACTGTAAACTTCCTGAGTTATAATAGTTCTACATTTTAATGGCTATCGATATGAAATTTATGCTCAAAGACGATTCTGACTATGAAGTTTAGGCGATGGTTGTACTTTTTAATTATTATGGATATGAAGTTTATGCCTAAAGATGATTATGACTGACAAAATTATGAGTTTTGAATGTATAATAAATGAGTGTCTGCCAAACGCTTTTCTGCGAAATGAAGTCTATGCTAACGGTTGTTATGCAAAATAATATTATGACATAAAAAGTTCTGCTATAAAGGGTAGATCCATAATCGCTAATCTATTTTCTTTCTTATTTTTACTATTTTCTTATTTATTAAAAACTATTTTCCGTATTTCTCTTTAGCTGTGTTGCGTATTCAATATGTTTACATTGGCGTTAAGAACAAACCGTAAGATTGAGTGAGTTAGATGTTTGGGTATAAAATTCAATTATGATCAGAGAAATAAATGTAAGTAGGTATGTATTCATTTGAGTATTATGCAAGGTTTCGTATTTCAGAAATTGTAATTTGATACCTATAAGATTATGCCCAAAGACCAACGGTATGGTTTAGTTGCTAGGTGTAAAAAAGATTATAATCGTTATTTAAGCATGTTATTAAAATGTCATTAAAAAATACAAAAAAAGTAAAGGAGACGAAGAAGTAAAATAAAATCATTAAAAATCGTAGTGGAAAATTATACAAAGCATAATTTGTAATAAATATAAAAAGCTACAATATGGATTACAGGTACAAATGCCATTGTGAATTTAGTACTTAAAACAGTAAGGAACCACACCTGTAGGTTATCTTATCAATTTACAATAGAATAAAAATATTAAGTATTAAAAAAAAATCGAATAACAATTACCGATAAAATTCATATTTATGATAATAAGCATGAGAACAACAGATATAGAGCAGCGATCAAGGGGAACTTAAATACTAATAAATAAATCAGATCTCAAAGTTATTTCATCTATGGAATTAGAGATAGTAGTGTTTGTGTTAATTTATTCTATCTGTTGTATATTGATTTATTCTCGTGGTGCCAAAATGACCGCTAATGCCAAATCATGAGAGCAGCTTTGATTTAGCAATCGTTTAAACAATTATTGTTAATTAGTGTAAACTACACCTACAGGTAATCAGTCAATTGCACTTTATAAGAATTTTGGTGATATAATATGTATGTTGTATTAATATTAAATAAATGTGCTGCGTAGAACAGTTATTTACATATATTTAAATGTTTGTGTCGTGTAAGAGCCGCACCCATCTATAAATGCGATCTTTTATGTATCTAACAACTTATGTTACAATCGACGAAATCTCAATTAAAAGTTACCTACCTTTGATTTTATTTAAGTTTAGGTTATTGTAATCTAATTTTTACTAAGTACACACTACAAAAATGATGTTAGCAAAATGTATTTTCATGGCTAACTTATAAATGCTTTTGTAATGTAAGCATTTTTAGTCTTTGTGACTTAGCATATTTTTGTAGGCTCACCTGCAATTAGAACAGGTAATGCGTACCAATTTAATATTATTATATATTTATACGTGCAAATAATTTTTGTATTTTGCGCAAAGTATTTGTGATTTAAATGTATAACAATTATATCTGTGAAAAAATGTTACTGTGTATTTTTTTATTTCTTTAATCCCCGAAGTACCTATAATTCCCAATTTACTAATATAAGATTAAACTAGTATGAAAAAATTAAATAATTACTTTTTACACAGACAAATACTAAAGGTACTAAAGGCACCACCACGGCAAAACTGGTGGTTTCGGCCCCCACTTTAAGTGGCGAAATTTTGCTTTTAGTGGCTAGTGGATTGTTTTAGTGGTTAAGTAGTAATAGTAAGATTTAGAAATGCTGTTGAAAGACGAACTGTGAAACTGTTTGTGTACGTAAACCTCAAGAACGTTTGATAGCAAATAAAGGATGGGGATTGGATAAAAGTACTCAGGAAGAGAAGGATTATTAATTTTAAGCAATGGGATGATGTAGAAATTGTGCCAGAGAGAGGGAAAAGTTCCGGCGTCGAGAAAGTAGTTAATAATGTTTGCTATAATTTCGAGGACGTAATCCAGGATGGTAACTATCATCCTACGGCTTGCACACCATTTCGCTACAACAGACAGACAGGATGATCTATTTGATATCCCTAGAAGGTACAGGAGAAATTTCAAAGTTGATTATATTGGGTCTGGGCAGACTAGGGATATAATTTAGAGTCCGACTCTATGTTTAATGATCCGGTTGAGTAGCAGACGAGAAATGAAGATTGATATCAATGAAACTGGACCCGTGGTTTTCTATCAATGGCCAACGAGTTAGTTATTGCTCATTAAAGATGCCGAAGGGGCTAAGGGACCTCGACATTTGAGGTATTAGCGACCTTTGAATACTGCCTCATTTCAATGCCGATGTTGAGTTGAGAGACGATAATTTTAAACAGAGGAATAGAATGAAGTAAATTTTTTCATCTGCTATGTTATGTATACCCCGTGGTTTGTAGCTGAAAGGAGAATACTGCAACAAATATGAAATTCCAATAAACGTTGTAAAACAAATCGGTACCAAAGAATCGTATTAATCTGGAACCGACGATGATGGTGCTGACAAAAACGATTAGTATCAGTATTAAATTATAATAAAAGAAACTAGTTGTTAATACACTTATAGTTTTCTTTGGTAATTACCAAAAAAATGTTTAGTGGTAAATTTAGTGTCCACTGTAGGTCGTGTGGTTAACAAGTGGACATTGCGTTGTCGGATAAATCTTCATTCATTTAAATTATTTATTTCCCTGCGTCATTCTCCTCCAGTCGAAATAAAATTCACCATTGGTAATTTTTCTAAAATAATAAATTGTTTCAATCCAGCTCACGAGACAATGACAAGAATTCAAATATATTGAGTTTATTTTCAAGGATTTTTTTTTTAGTATTATGTTGCGACAATGACGCAGGAGTAAAAAGAGTGAGGCATTATCCTGTTTGCATCGTCACTCGCCGATGCATCATCCTAGCGCGTAAACCGCCCGATCAGGACGAGTAGAAGCGCGTGGGCAACGCAAGGCAATAATGCAACGGGTGGTCATCGAGTTATCCACTCGGTAACCACCCGTTGCTCGCACCATTGCCGCACTGTTGTAGTGACCGTATACCCATAGTACTCCATACAATGAATACTACTGGGATTTAAACATTTCCAGTATATTTTGAAAAATATATAACCTGTTTAAAAAAATAGATGTTGCGAGCAATGACCTGGCAAGAATAAGAATGAGGATTCACTCAGCGGTTACCTATATGGTTACCTGCTAACTTTAGTAAAGAAACTGATTTATTTTATTAAATAAGTAAGCCACAAATACCACTGCCTGCAAACTATTTCTAAACCAATTCAATAACTTGCTTGTTGCAAATTTCTAAAGCACAGGCAGTCTCTGCCATACAAACCTACAAACCATTAAGCACTATATTTTTAGCGGTGGTCATAGAGTATTTACTTATAGACATTAGACAGCATAGAGATATAACCTAGACAAGCGAACAATTTTGCAATATAAGCAAAGAGAGATGGATAATAGGTAGTAACCCTTAATCTCTATCCAGCCAACCTCTGTTTTTGGCGGGGGAATATGCGGAGTTATTAAGTAGCCAATCGCAGCATAGCTAGACAGAATTTGACACAGACAGTGGGAAATAACGGGCAAATAATACATCTCTCTCGTTGCCTGTATCGTTTCCACTTACAGGCATCTGTACCTCGTGTTCTCTCTATGGTATACAGTAAACAAAAAACAATGCCATAAACCCTAAAATAAAGGAACAGACTATGTATAATAGGTACTTTTTATAACCATTTTTTTTTGGCAATCAATGGCAGGCGCAGGTCTACATATAAAAAATTATTTGGAATCGACGTGTTAAACAAATTTTATTTGGGAAAGCCTCAGAAAAAAGATTTTAGCTTTTTAGCTTTAGCTAAAGATTATTAGGTTACGCAATTGGGGTATTTTATAACATTTATTTATTTACTTATTTTCTTTAAAAACAATTATTATTACAGGTTTAGCCCAATGCAATAGGGTTATACCATCTACTTATTTATTAGGTTTAGGAAATAATTAGATCGCTATGACTAACATCGCTATGACTTAATTATGATTAACATCGCTGCAAAATGTATTCTTTATTTTATCAATTTATTTATAGCTATCGAATCTTCTGTATTAACAAACACTCACTATTTCAAACAAGAAATCACTAGATAACTCTTTTAGCCGCACTAGAATTTCGCTTCGATATAAAGCCGGGGGCCGGGAAGCACAGGTAGGTTACGTGCAGTGAGCAACGATCTCGAAGGCCGTCGGAAATCTTCGGGCGCTGCGGAGATGTTGCTTAGTCGACGTGCGGGCGAATCCTGTGTCGTACGGCC